TAAAACAGGACCAACTAGGTTGCAACACCTCCAAAGTTCTCTCCATCTGTACCATAGTCTATTAGTTGTGAAACTTCACGTACCTTCAAACAAATATTGTAAATTTTTTATCACTGTATATCAAAACTAGCTTGCTTGTGAGTATAAGCTTACCTTCAGCAAGCTGATGAAAGCAGATCTCAATGAATTTTAAATTGTGACTATGACAGATATAAAATGCAGGTTTTATAAATGAACACATAGAAGTCTCAAATTTTTAAGAAATTGATGATTTATGTACTATTTATTTATAGATCACAAATAGTGATATGAAATATTTATGTCAACATTCAATGGAGAAATATTTACAGTATATAAATCCTGTATTCTGGTATCTAGAATGAATACTGAAAGAAATGATTTATATTTATGACAGTCATCAAGTTTATATATTAAAAGAAATGTGCATGCTTTATTCTGCATTGTCTTAATATATTCCTCATTTTAAACCCTTTCTGTCTTCAAAAATATTGGGATCTTGGAGGGACATAATAACAGTATTTTCTCCTGGCCAACTTCCAACTAAATTGAAAAATAAAATAAAGGCATATAGATGGAAGCCAAAATATCACCTCAACATGGATACAGTTCAAATTTGAGGATCTAACTCAGCACGAGGGCTGAGTAAACATTGTAATTGGATGCCAGAAATCAGGAAGACATTCCCATATATGAAATCTGACAATTAAGTTCACAGATGCTTCCTAGAAAAAGTTCTATATACCTCACTGCTCAATATCACTACAGTCATCTTTGAAGTACTCCCTTTGGGAGGCACTAATGCCAATGCCTAGTCCACCCAAAGCAATTTGGGAACTCCTTCTCTGGAATGGCCATCAGAGCTGCCACCATATGAAGTTTGACAGTTAAGTTCATAAACTCATCCTAGAAAAGTGAAGGACTATAATCCTTAGTAACTGTTAAGCTGCTATTGATCTGGGAAATACTTTTTTCCCCTCTATAACAACCTGCAAGAACCACAAAAGCAGTTTGCTTTTATTTAGCAAATTAGAATACACATTCATAATCTTGCAGAGGCCAATCAATTTTCTAGCTCTCTACTGTAAGACTGGTAGAGATTTTTGATTTCTTAGCATCTTACTGAACATTGTGCTAGTCTGCTATGTTGATGACAAAGTGCTCACTTGGCATAAAGAACAGGAAGAAGCAAGCTCCTTAGATGCCTTAGTGAGGTGTATGTGACCTACTGGTAGAGGAAAATCTGACCACAGGGACCAAGCAGAGTTATTATTCAAGCATCCAGTCGGGAAAACAAAGTAATTCTGTGTACTAACACAACTAAAATAAATATATTCCTTATTTTAAACCTTCTTATCTGTCTTCAAAAATATTGGGATCTTAGAGGGATGTAATAATGGTACTTTCTCCTGGCCAACTTCCAACCAAATTGAAAAATAAAATAAAGGCATATAGGTAGAAGCCAAAATATCACCTTTTATAAAATTTTATATAGTTGCCCTCTGAACAATACAGGGGAGAGGGGAGATGATCCCTTGAGCAGTCAAATGTCCATGTATAACTTTTTGATTCCCCCAAACTTACTAATAGCCTACTGTTATCTAGAAACCTTACTGATAACATAGTTGATTAACACATATTTTGTATGTCATGTGTATACAACATTTTTTACAATAAAGCTGGAGAAAAAATGTTATTAAGAAAATTATAAGAAAGAGAAAGTATATTTACTATTAAGTGGAAATGGATCATCATAAAAGTCTTCATCCTCTTGTCTTCACATAGAGTAGGCAGAGGAGAAGGAAGAGGAGGGTTGGTCTTGCTGTCTCAGAGGTGGCAAAGACAGAAGAAAGCCCATGTATTTGTGGACCCAGGCAGCCCAGCCAACATATTTGTGGACCTGGACAGTTCAGAGCTGTGTTATTCAAGGGTCAACTGTATAAGGAACTGGTTAAACAGATGCTGAAGAACTGAAAAACTAGAATGGGAACCATCAAATTAATACCAAGATCCAAACTTCAGGAAGCAGTTGCTATCCCTAGAGAAGAAGTTGAGGGTATAGGAACCAAGGACTTGGAGGACAAGCCCTAAGACAGACTTCCTGAGGTATTCCTCTTGCCAATATGTCAGGAGCTTAAAGGAGCATCTGATAGTAAAATTTGGGTCTCAGACTTCTAAGGAAGGCTGTTTCTGAGTGGTTGCTAAAAGCTCTGTGAGAGAATGATGAAACTTATTCCAGAAGTGTTAAAAAATGTTGGAGACTGGAACCAACTGCCACTGCCAGGTGAAGCTTTGTTGCTGTGGTGACACATGGATATGAACAGCAAGCAAAGGAAAAAGGCCAAGTCCCTTCTCCCTGCCTCTTGCCTGCTGGTCTGTCTCCAGTTCCCCCTATTGGCATAATTTACTATACATCCGGCAAAGGAAAAAACCCACTACAGAGTTCCAATTCAGGCACCACAGAGGATGTCTGTAGAGATGTATTTGCTTAACAATTGGCATATTTGTTACAGAAAAAGTTCTAACTCCTTAGCCAGGCTATTGACAAGTAAGCCCCTAACTATAATCCTAATCTACCTGACTAGCCATCATAACCCCCATCTTTGGCTAATCCTCATGCTAATGTCTAATGCTAACAGACTATTATTTCTTGAAGTTGATGAAACAAACGAAAAAGTCTCATCTATTGATGCCTTTGCTCAATTAGTCATATGTGAAACTGCTCCCTCTTCATCCAATAGCTTGCCCTGATTATCATAAAAACAATTTATTCTTACTGGGCACAGTGTGCTGCACACTATTTTAGTCTCTTTACATGTTTATTTAATCCTCACAACAACCCTATAAAGCTTATTCTATTTATTTCCATATTTTACAAATAAAACTGGTTATATAACTTGCCCAAAGTTACACAGCTAATAAAAGTTAGAACCAGTCCTTCCAAGCCGCTATCTTAACCAACTTAAAATACTTCTTTAGAAGATCTAAATCAAATGTCACCTCATCAGAGAAGACTTTCTAGTTTCTCAACCCCTATAGCCCTGATCTCAACCGCTGCAGGAAGAAACCAGGCATGACACGGATTAGAAGTACAAGCTTGCAGGAGGTGGGCTAACCTTGATTGCAGGGTAGCCATGAGCAACCTCTGCAGTAGTCTTTTATTGAGATGGCACATGACAGATGAGGGGAGTATTACACAATGACTGTGTGCCTAAGGATTGCCATGGGCTTGGACTCTTTCTCCACAAACACCTGCGGACCAATTGCCTGAAGAGTCCGCCCCCCAGCTGCAAATCATCTTGCTCAGAGGTTCTCCGGCTCTTGGCTTCCTCTACTACATTCTAGACTATGCCAGGCCAAAATTTTTGCTTCCTCTCTGGTGCTAACGTATTTCTCCCATGGCAGAGCTTTTCAGTGCATGGAATCTTCTCACCAATATTTATATCTCTGGATCTCTTAGAAAAATAGTTAACTGCTCAGGTGTCCGGTTAGCACTTCATGCACTGACGAAAAAGCACTGTGTCTGTGCTGTCCAAGATGGTAGCCACCAGCCACATATGTGTGAGCAGCTGAAATACTGTCAGCATTACTGAATTTCCTTTATCTTTATCAAACTTATTTAAGTCACCACATAGGGGCGGTGACCACCATATTTGATAGTAAAGATCTAGTTCCTCAAAAAAAATGTTCACAGGCTTCATGAATCATTCATTAAAAACTTGTACAGCCTCATCTTTGTTTTGTTTTTTTTTGTAACCATATAGAGTATTTGGTTTCTTTATTAATGAACATGTCTATACGTGAATTCAACACAGCACCACTATCAATATTCACCCCATATTTTATGTATCCACTTTCCACTTTAAGCATTATTTTTGCTGTAAAAAAATTATAAAGGATTTTTTATTAAAATTTTTTAAATTGTGATTGCCAAATTATTTAAGGCAGTTATAAAAAAGGAAAGCATTCAATATACATTTACATAAATTAAATTACAGATTACAGCATAAAACAAATAACCAAGCAATAGCATTAGTTTCTTTTCTAAAACTGGATAATTGTAAACATTAAAAAATAAGAGGACTGCAAGACTATTCAAGTAATAGAACAATGACAGATGTCTTTAGTACGCAGGCTACTGGGTTACATAAAGGATTTTAAAAAATTTTACTTGTGTAAATATTTAATTTATAATTGCCTATCCCCCGCCCCCCGCAGCTGTTTTCATTTTTCCCCTGCGTCGTCCACTGATAAATCCCGACCGGATCAGTGCCCGGCAAACAACCGGGACTCGATACATCGTGGGGTTAAAGGAGGGATGAGGCAAAAAGACGCATGTCGGGTAAGTTTGGAAATCTGACCTACACGATGTTTTCATATATTATGTAATTTTTTAGTGAACGCTGAATGTAAGCATTAAAAAGAAACAGGTATGTTAAATTTCGTAGACAAACATTCACTTCAATTTCAAAGACTCCTCCCCTAAGAAAATGACATGAAGGTTATGTTAACCTGTTTGATGAAAGTATTTCAAAATGTATATGAAAACAGTACACTGTACCCCATGATTGCATTAATGTACACAGTTATGCTATAAGAAATAAAAAAAGAAAAAAAATGAGAAAAAAAAAGACTCTTTCCCTCTGCCGCGTCCCTGTCTTCTGGAGCCTTCTCCTCAGCGCGCTCCTCAAAAACAGCAATATTTAAGATACAAAATTACTAACAAGGAAACAAAAGAAAACATACGCACTCGAGACTGGTTAAAAGTGAGGCTGACAAAAGCAAGGTGAGACCACTATGCAACGTCGACGCGCTCCTCGCCGCGCTCTCGCCATGGTGGGGCCGTCTCCTCCGCGCTTCACCCACAGCGGAGCTCCCGGAAGCCAAGGCACCACAGTGCCCCAAGGCGCCTGCGCGAACGTTGAGGCACCGCCTCCACCCTCCAGGCCCCGCCCAACTCGTTCTTCATTCCTACTGGCGTCTGGTGTTGCCATAGAAACCCAGAAAGCGTCATGGCTGCCGCCGGCGGGAAGAAACAGTATTTGACATTGCCGGCGGCAGCCCTCTCCAAGTCATCGTCATTTTCGCCACAGCCAGCAACTCCTATCCGAGGGAAGCCTAAGAAGTGTCTGGTCTATCCGCATCCCCCGAAGAGCTCCCGCCTGTCTCGCTCCGTCCTGCGCTGGCTCCAGAGTCTGGATCTCAGCTTCTTTCCCAGGAACGTCAACAGGTGCTAGAGGCGGCCCAGACCCCGGGGTCCGCACCTGCCGCAGAGGCCCGGGGTCCCCACCTCCTCCTTTCTGTCACCTGTCCTGCCACCCACTCACCACACCCACCTGCACAGGAAAACCCCTTTCAGGGAGCGAGGCTTTGAAAAATTAAGACGTTTTATTCATCCGGTTACTCAATTATTAAACTGTACATTCAATTCAGCTAATGTAGAATACTTTGGTGATTGCAAAGTAGTATCACTCCAATGCTAGTGAGGATCAGTGGTTTGAGGGTTATCAAGGATTTTAAATAGTTGACTTATCTGTAGCAGTTAATATCTGCTCTGAGAATGCCAACTAAAGGATTTAGTTGGCAAATGAAATTAAGGCAATGAATCTTTTTGCAGAAAAAATTCTGATTTAAGGTACTCCCTCATTTACCAAGAATATATCAAGACCCCGCCAGTGAATGCCCGAATCCACTGAACCCATCAGCTGGAACACATTTCTGTTCATGTCTTGCGCCCACAAATTTAATGCCTTTTCCATTTTCACTAAGCACTTCGTGCACACTGTGACTACATCATTTGCTGTTTGAAGCACAATGGCAAAACTAGGACGCGGTTTTCTCTTCCTTCATAATTTCAGAGATATAAGATTCTTCCTTACCATAGAGTTTAGCATCCTCAGCATGAGATTTTCCCCCCTTTCCTTACTGAGCACTTTCCACATTTTCACTTCAAGAAAGCACCTTACAACTTATCTTTGCCATACCAGAATTGCCATTTTAGCTTGGGGCCATTATGAATTAAAGTAAGGGTTCCTTGAACACAATCACTGAGGTACTGTGACAGTGTATTTGATAACCAAAAAGCTAGTAAGTGGCTAGAGGACAGACAGTATCTACAGCCAGGGATAGTTGGACAAAGGGAGGATTCACTTCCTGGGTGGGACAGAGTAGATGGGGTAGGCTTCTTCACACTATTCAGAACAGTGCACACTTTTAAAATTATGATTTATTTCTTGCATTTTCCATTTGATATTTTCAGACTGTGGTGGACTGAAGGTAACCGAAACTGCAAAAAGCAAAACTGTGGCTAAACAGTGACTACTGTTCTAGTTTCAGTATTTGGTATTCCTGACAAAGAGGCTAGGGATCATGCTAAAAGTGCACATTCAACAAAATTAGTGGAGTTCCTAAAAAGAAAAGTCAAGCCTTGGATATGTGTATAATCTCACCAAAATTCCATATTAGGTCGTCCTCAGAGCAACAATCCAACAAAATTAATTTTAGGAGCTACTTTGTCAGTATGGAATATTAGATGGGTGTTAGTTACTTATAAAATAATACAAACTGCATAATTAACTACACTTTGTATCATTCTTTATTGTTATGATCAGGGATTTTTCAAACGGCTTTCTGATCGCAGAAATACTTAGTATATATTACCCCTGGGAACTTACACTATCATCCTTTGAAAATGGAACCTCTTTAAAAGTCAAGCTGGATAACTGGGCACAGCTGGAGAAGGTAAATTAGCAATTATTTGCACTTTTAACTGTTAAAAACTTTGTTTTAAAAGGTGCACTCCTAACTTCTTGGATCTCTACACGTGTGTATAACTGCTCTAGGATTCAATGCTGCTAAGTTGGCAGCTTGTTCTGTGAATCACAAAATTTAGTATATCCAGTAGTTTATGTCACAAGTCACCTATGAAACTGTGCATATTCATTTCAATGAGCATGGGGTTTAATGATTGGTTTTCCTGCTGAATATGATCTTTGGATAATAAAACAACAGAAAATTAGTTGAGAGATAAATAAAATGGAGAACAAAGCAAATTCATAATAATGGGAGATATTTATAAAACTTATGATGAGAATATTTTCTTTCTACTGTTAAAGTTCCTGGCCAAAAAAAAACTGAAATTACCCAAAGAACTAATCCATGGAACAATACATTGTAAAGCCGGAGTACCTGAAATACTAATGCAAGAGGTTTATACTTTATTAACACATCGCGAGTAAGTTATTTAAAATTATTCAAAATTTCCTAAGCACAATTTAATGTGAACATTTTGATAATATAAATCTCATTACTTAAGTGTGGCTTGTCAACAGTATTTTATTTCTTATTTCCAGAATTAAAAGCATCCAGGATGACTTGGTGAATTTCACAGACTACAGTTACCAGATGCATTTACCCCTGGTTCCCAGATCTACCGCTTCCAAGTCTATTAAAGATAACATTAGGTTGTCAGAATTACTAAGCAATCCCAACAAGCTCAGCAATGACCTTAAAGTAGAGTTCCTCTTCCTTTTACATATGTTGCAAAGAAAATTAAGTAGAAAATTAAATCCAGGTAAGTTTTCCTTGGAAATAGTAGAGTTCTTTCAGGCTCTAGGAGGCTATTCTTGGGCACAGATGAAAGAAAACCTGAATTGGTCCATTTCTGTTTTCTTCTGTCACTTGTTCAAAGGGGGCGGGGGGGGGGGGAACCTTTTGTAATGCCAGCAGTGGAATGCTTCATTATCAGTGGAGTGGTTTATGTAATAATTTATTCTTCTGATGATGGCATATGTTGACATAGGGTATAGACTTTTTTGGTTAGAAAAATGTTTATGAATCTACTCATGTAAAACATTTGTGGGAAATAAGAAGTTCATATATCAGCTCAAGTAACTAAAAGGCTTAAGAGTTAATCAGGATATAAGTTTCTTTGGAAAATCTGAGATTACCATGATTCACTGTTAAATGCTATCCAGAGGATGGTCAGTGGAGCCTTGTTCGTGTGTAGATAGAAGGCAGATTGTACAACCCACAGCAACTTTTCAGAGGTATGACCAAAACCATTCTCTAAGTATCCAAAGCATTTGCCATCAGATTCCCAGGCAGGTGGAAAAGTAAATGAATTTTTTCTTTTTTTACACATATTCAGGATACCACTCACATACTGAAATCTTATCTCATTTGATTCCAGACACCTAGAAATCTCATCATTTCTGTGGCATTTGGAAAGGAGTCAGATAGATATAGGTCATTAGAATTCCTCTCCCAAGAACCCCATTTTCTGAAGAAAAGAGCTATTTTCTCTCTGGTCTCAGGGAGGAGAGGAAAGCATCAATTTCAATACCTCCCTAAATTGTGAGATAGATATCTTGAGCTTTGTCTTCCCTTACTCCATCCATTCCACCGTGGATATTTCTTGTTTCTCTTAACTTTTCTCATCTTTGGCTCATGAATTTGTAAGTTAAAGAATTTTGTACTTTTGGAGAATTTTGTATTTGAATTTTCTTGTTTTTAAACATTAAAGTTTTGCTGTGAAATGTACCACACATGCAAGTGTATAACATACATGTACAATGTAAAGAAAAGTAATGACAATGAAAAATATCTTGTATATCATTACACATTTTTAACACCTTCACCTGCCCTGGTGTGTCCCTTACTGAGTGCATTCTCCACACACCCCTCTGAGGATAACTACTCTCCTGCTCCCTTTGTTTATAATTTCTTTGATTAAAAAATATTTTTATGCATGCATACTATTTATATATTATTCTTCATTTTACTTATACTTTTATTTTTTTAGAGACAGAGTCTCACTTTGTCGCCATCAATAGAGTGCTGTGATGTCATAGCTCACAGCAACCTCCAGCTCAGGGGTCTTTAAACTTTTTAAACAGGGGGTCAGTTCACTGTCCTTCAGACCATTGGAGGGCCAGACTGTGGGTCCCAGGATGAGCTGGCTGCTAAGCAGGACAGGCAGCAGTGGCAAAAACATCTGGCAGGCAGGATAAATGTCCTAGGCAGGCCACATGTGGCCCTCAGGCCGTAGTTTGAGGATGCCTGCTCCAGCTCTTGGGCTTAGGCAATTCTCTTGCCTCAGCCTCCTGAGTAGCTGGGACTATAGGCGCCCACCATAACGCCGAGCTATTTTTTTTTTTTTTAAATTGCAGTTTAGCTGGGGCCGGGTTCAAACCCACCACTGTAGGTATATGGGACCAGTGCCTTACTCACTAAGCCAAAGGCTCTGCCCAACTTATACATATTTTTGAATTTTAAGATTTCATCTAACTTTGCAAAACTTGGCAGAATAGCTCCCACATTGTCCATTTGGCCCTAATCTCCAAAACCTGTGGATATGTTATGTTCCATGGCATAAGAGACTTTGCAGATGTAACTAAACTTATGAACCTTTGGATAGTGTATGCATGTGGGCCCAATCTAATCACAGGAGACCTTAAAAGTAGAGATTTTTCTCCAACTGGAATCAGAGAGAGGTTGCAAAAGAGAAGAGGGATGTGAAGTGGGGTAGGCTCGCCATCTGCTACTGCAGCAGCTCCAAGCACAGCTTCTAGGAGCAAAGAACAACCCTGGGCTGACAGCCGGCAGAGAACACAGGGACAGCAGGCCTACAAACATGAGGAAGTGCGTTCTGCCAACAAGCCAAGTGAGCCTGGAACATGAGTCATCCCCAGGGCTTCCAGAAAGGAGTGCAGGCCTGCCAACACAGTGGTTTTAGCCTTGTGAGAAGAATCTAAATAGAGAACCCACACTTCTGTCTTGCAAGATAAAAATGGCTATTGTTTTAAGTCATGAAGTTTGTGGTAATTTATCATGGCAGAAATGTTTTTGTCTTACATATCTTCTGTTTTGGATTGAATTTTTTTTTCCTGAAAACTTTTTTCCCCCACTACTCATTTGGAAAATTTTAAATTTCAACTCTTTAGCACTAATCTAGAAATTTTAACATGCATATTTATCTTAGTCTAAAACTAATTCATATCTTTATTCTCTTCCTCAGAAAACTACAAAGAACTTAGGACTCTGGCTCTAATCACTCCCTGCCAGCCCACACCTCACTTAAGTCCAGCTTAACTGAGGTCTATCAAGTTACTTTTTAACACCACAGATCACACATCATTATTTTTATTTTTCTATTTAAAAGTCCATCTTTGCACAAAGCTAAACTGTATCTGCTTTTGAATGCACTTTCTCTTTAGCCACAGATTACTGCAGCCCTTCTAATTCTTGAGTAATATTCCATCTCCAGTCTTGATTCTGAAGACTACTAACTTTAAAAATTTCTCATTCGTAGCCAAAGTCATTAATCCATTCAGATTCTAGTTCTGAAACTATACAAACCAGAGTCATATTTAGCGTTAACAGAGCACAACTGGTGAGTAGAAATGATTGCAGACACTTCAGGCCTTGGGAAGGATGGGCCACAGAGGAGGGAGTGATCTTTAGGAGCGCAGGGAAACTGCCCAAGGACTGTGGTTCATAGGATTAGTTACAAAGAAATACGGAAAACCTAGAAGTAATATTAAGGCACAATTTCATGCTATAAAAATGCTGAAGAAATAGGTGTTGCGTGATTTTATTTATAACATTAAAAATAGGTAAAACCAACCTATATTTAGAGAAGTCGGGATAGTCTTTGCCTTTTAGGATGCTGTCTGGAAAGATAAGAGGGGATTTGGGAGTACTGGTGATAGATCATTTTTTGACCTGGGTGATAGTATTCCAGGTATAGTCACTCCATATTGGAGTAAATTAAATTTATGATTCGTTCACATGCTATCAATGAATAAAAACTTATTAAAGACTTTTAGAAACATCTAGATATTGCCTTTAAAAGATCTATTTTCTGTATCAAAAATATTGTGAGTAATGTGGAGAGGGCATTATTAACCTGTGTATTCACACCATTTTTAGGAACATGGCATGACAGATACTTTAATCATTTGCTTAATTGTTAAATTATCATGTTTTATTTTGACAATGGCTGTTGTGACTTTTTTTTTTGAGAAATAATGTTTGTTTCTGTTTCATAGAATGGTTTGGCATCAGACCCACAGTGGGAGAAATTACTCTCAATCATCTTCCTGCCCAATCCTCTGGGTGCAGGTTTAAGGCCAAGGTGCCAAGGGGAAAAGCTGCCCCTATTTCAGGTAAGTTCTTGTTTTAACTTTTTGCCTCTTAAAATAGATTTTTTTTTGTTTTCCTTTGTTCAATTAAAGTTTTAAAAATAGTTAAAATTTTGGCCTAGGGTAATATTCGATCTTAAATTTCATATTAAATTGTCTGCAGCTACACTTTTTTTTTTTTTTTTTTTGAGACAGAGTCTTATTCTGTCATCCTGGGTAGAGTGCCATGGGGTCATAGCTCACAGCAACCTCAAACTCTTGGGCTCAAGGGATACTCTTGCTTTATTTAGCCTTCTGAGTAGCTGAGTCTATAGGCAACCCACCACCACACCCAGCTAGTTTTTCTATTTTTAGTAGAGATGGAGTCTCATTCTTATTCAGGCTGGTCTCGACCTCCTGAACTCAAGGGATCCACCCACCTCAGCTTGCTGGGGTTACAGGTCTGAGCCCACCATACTTGGCCTGGATTGTGCTTTTTTATGCAGGGTAGAGAGGGCATTTGGTGTCCTAAGTCACTGTCCACCCCAACCCCACCTGCTATTAGATACATTTATATTCTGATTTATCCTTCAATAAGTGAGTCTGAAAAAGTGAACCTCTTTAGCAGAGCTCCAAACTCACTTCTTTAGTATGAGTCAGGCCTAAGAATACATCAGTACTTAAATACCTAGACTTCCAATTAGTTGTAGCACACGATGTCCCTTGTTGAAACTTCGTTAATTCAGAAAGCATTTATACTACAGCCCATAGGCCAAGTTCAGCTTGTTGCCTGCTTTTGTATAGCCTACAAGTTAAAAATGCTTTTTGCATTTTTTCGAGAAAAAAAAGAGCCTCACTTTGTCACTCTGGCTTGAGTGCCATGGCGTCATAGCTCATAGCAACCTCAAACTCTTGGGCTCAAGTGAATTTCTTGGCTCTGCCTCCTAAGTAGCTGCGACTACAGGCACCCACCACAATGCCTGGCTATTTTTAGAGTTGGGGGTCTCGCTCTGGCTCAGGCTGGTCTCAAACCTGTGAGCTCATGCAATCTACCTGCCTCAGCCTCCCAGAGTGCTAGGTTATAGGCATGAGCCACCCTGCCCAGCCTTGTTTTTTGCATTTTAAATGGTTGAAAAAAATTTATCAAAAAGAAAAATAGTATCTCCTGATACATACAAATTAGATGAAATTCAAATTTCTATGTTCTATGCCTGCTCAGTAAATGCTTTGTCTACCCTGCTGCCCCTACAACAGCGGGGGTGGATAATTTATTTTATTTTTTCAGATTAATGTGAGGTACAAACAACTAGGTTACAGTGTTTGCATTTATTAGGTCAGATCCCTGTTGTAGTTGTGCCCCTCACCCAGGAGGTGTGCCACGTACCCTTACATTGTGTCTATCAGGTGGAAGCTCACTAATCCCACTCCCTCCTCCCCTCTCCCCCAGCCCAACTCTAATTGAATAAGTTTTTCTCTTATGTGGACGTTTTGGCATCACAGCTCACAGCAACCTCAAACTCTTGGGCTCAAGTGATTCTCCTGCCTCAGCCTCCCAATTACCTGGGACTATAGGCACCTGCCTATAGTTGCAGTTGTCACTGTTTAGCTGGCCTGGGCTGGGTTCGAAGCTACCAGCCTGGGTATATGTGGCCGGCACTCTACCCACTGAGCTACGGCACTGCCCTCTCCATCTTTTCTTATAGCTGAATAGTATTCCATAGTATACATATACTACAGTTTATCAATCCATTCCTGGGTTGATGGACATTTAGGTTGTTTCCACATCTTGGTGATTGTAAATTGAGCTGTGATAAACAGTCTAGTGCAAATGACCTTATAATAAAATGATTAAATGAATTTTTTCTTCTGGGTAGATAGGGATGGATAATTAACTGCCAAATGGGCTGTATGGCCCACAAAGCAGAGCTGCCGGGTTTAGCAAATAAAAACAGAGGGCAATGCAACAAATAATTTTGAGGACAGATATAGGACACGGCTTCACTAAAAATTATTTTTTATTTATCTGAAATTCAAAATATGGTGTCCCTATTTTATCTGGCAACCCTACCACAAAGACTCAAATATTTACTATCAGGCTCTTTACAGAAAACTTTTGTGGACCTTTGCTACAGGGCATGTTTCCAAAAGTATTAAGAAGGATTTCACTAGGGGTAAACATTCCTTGTTTACAGAATGTCTGAGAGATCAACATCAGCACATTCCTTTTCTGAAAACCTTTCAAATGCTAATATGCATTGTAAATTTTAAAGAGGAGAGATACAGCATTAAGTGTGTTCCAAATTCTCTTTGATCACCTGTCAATATTTGGTTTTCCTTTTGGTTTAATGGCCTTATAGAACTTAGCAGTCCTCAGAGCACATTTTTTTTTTTTTTTGTTTGAGACAGAGTCTTACTCAGTCACCTTGAGTAGAGTGCCGTGGCACCATCATAGTTCATAGCAACCTCAAACTCCTGGGCTCAAGTGGTCCTCCTGGCTTAGCCTTCTGAGTAGCTGGGACTAGAGGTGCTTGCCAGTTTTTTTTTTTTTTTTTTTTTTTGCAGTTTTTGGCCAGGGCTAGGTTTGAACCCACCACCTCTGGCAGATGGGGCCGGTGCCCTACTCCTTGAGCCACAGGCACCACCCCAGTTTTTTTGTTTTTAGTAGAGATGGGGTCTTGCTCTTGCTCAGGATGATCTTCAACTCCTGAACTCAAGAGATGCTATTGTCTTGGCCTCCCAGAGTGCTAAAATTACAGTGTGAGCCACTGTGCCCAGTCCCAGAGCACATTTCTCAACATTAAGACAGAGGCCACCCTAACCCTAACTCATTATATATCTGGGGTATGACAGAATCCAACAGCAGTGAATGTTTCAGTGAAAATAAAATGTATATCCATAATGTCACCTTCAGATTCTGGGAAAGCCACCTCTCCTGCAACCTGCTCCAACCTCCTCCTGCTGGGTGATTTGTGCAGGGAAAGTTCCAGCAGGGTGGGAGCTGCAGGTCAGTAGGGGGATCACCAGGAGGCAGCAGTGGGTGTTCTTTATTCTTTCTTCCTTTCTCTTTTTAACTTGCTTGCCTCTCCCTTTATGGCTAAATGAATCTGCCTGGGGATGGGAAAGGCATTATCTCTTGCTTTGGCACCCTCAATGAAAAGAAAAGTAGGAGGGGGTAGTGATGTGTCTCAACATGGTCTCTGTCCCTGTGTAAGACACAAGGGCAAATAGGCCACCCAGAAACAGTGAGGCCTACTGATGTCTGAATTGCTAATGAGTATTTCTCATTTCTGTTACCTTTCTGGAAAATTTTCAAGGCTCACATATGAGTTTGCCATCATTACTGCTGATCAGGATTCCAAGGAAAATGGATTTTTACTTCAATAGTTTTGATAGTGTACAAACTACTATAAATAACATCTCCCAATTTATTCTCTCAATGCTTTATTATGGTTCTCTTTCACTCTAGTGGAAAAGGAGGTGGGTTTATGGAAACCTTCCTGGTATAGGTGAACATACATTTGGGGGGTTTTGTTTTATTTTATTTTTTTACTTCTCTAAATACTGTTTCAGATAGTACTTGTATTCTCTTAGTTTAGGTACACAGGAAATTAATGAACACTGTGGATTTGACATTGGTAATGACATGAAAACTATTTTAAGAATTAAAGGATTTTTTTCTAAACTTGGTAAAGACATTCCATTTCAGTTGTTTCTTGATAAAAGGGTACAGTGATTGCAGTAGCTGCCTCAGGTCAGCTACCCCATTTTGAAACTTACTGGAGAAGAAAGTGGCAGGAACATTAGATTATAGGAATTTAACCCTATCTTCCAATGTCAGATTGTACATAAAAACATTGAAATCACAGGCTGTTCATCTGAAAATCTTCTAACTGTCAAACAGAGTAGCCAAAATTCATTGTAAGGTAGGTATGTATCTTTTTTCTTTTATTAACACTTAAGTTACTCTACTTCTTTACCAAAATCTAGTATCTAGCAAAATTATAGGCTAATGGGATTGAGATTTCTTACTTGCTACTGGTCCCCCACATGAGAACTGAGTGGCCAGCTTGGATGCCTCAGTGTGATCAGAGTTCCATAATAAACTGAATTATGAATCACAGATATTCATCAAATCTAAGTCCAAAATTGTGTCACTGTTGCCTCAGCTGCTTTCTGAAGCATTATCTAAAGATAGTTGAGTCATATTCAGTATCAGATGCACCAAAATAAGCCCTGGATATTTTTAGGTTCTGTAGATGACTTCGGGAGTGGATGACATTCAGATGTTTTTTTACCTATGACAACTATAATGAATGATTTTGATATTCTTGTTTACCAGACATTGAGATTAACCTGTGTTCAGCCTGCTGCCAATCATTCTGCATATATTTGATATATTAGAAACATGGATGGTTGGGTGAATCTTTAAATAAATTGATTTTAATTTTGTTTATTCAAATATTCCAGAAAATGATCGTAATGGTGCCAGTTCGCATAGAGAAATTCATGTGAAGCAAGGTGGAATCCATTCCTGTGATTCTGTTGTGGAACCTACCCCAAGCATGGAAAATAAACCTTGACAAGCACTTGTCAAATAGCTTTGAAGAAGTGATACAACTATCTCTTGCCACACTAAAGGAATGTTATACCACCTACTTGTAAATGTGTTTCAATAATAAACAAATGGAAGTGGTATCTTATCCATAATTGGACTAAGAACATTTCTTTTCTTTTTTTTTTTTTTTTGAGACAGAGCCTCAAGCTGTCCCCCTGGGTAGAGTGCTGTAGCATTACAGCTCACAGCAACCTCCAACTCCTGGGCTCAAGCGAGTCTCCTGCCTCCGCCTCCCAAGTAGCTGGGACCAC